TGGCAGCCTGCCTGCCGCCGCCGGCTGGGTGGCTCTTCTCCAGCAAGGCAGGAGCCAGGCTTCCCTCGAGGCTGCGGGGCTTCCCAAAGCCCAAGTGGTCTGTGGCTGCCCTGGCAAGGGATTTTTCGGAATGGCCACGGAGAGCATCTCGAAATGCCCCCAAAGCTGCACCTGCAGGGTCCTCCTGCCTGGGCTGCTCCGTCCCCAGCCAGGGAGGGAGGTGCTCGGTGTCTGCCCTGGGGTGCTTCATCTCTGCGCTGGGGGCTTTTAAATTCTTCCACTTGGCTGCAGCTGGACAAAAAGGTCTAAGTTTCAAAGACAGGAATTGCTGCAAGGTTCATGCAGAAGGGCAAGTGGGTGGAGGAAGGCGAGCTTCGAGCTTGCTGCTGTCTGGAGAGGAGACAGCGGTGAGCTCACCCGGTATTAAAAGACCTGGGCTGGGCTCCAGGGGAAGGTAACCAGGCTTTCTAAGTTTCTCTGCTTCTGGCATCACCGAGCTCTTCTCTCGCAGCCTGTGCTACAGCAGAGAGCATGCAACTCTTGGGGTGCAGGGCTTATGGTTTGGGGGCTCTTCCCACAGAGCCCTGTTGCTTGCTGTGCCCCCGAGAGCGGTGCCAGCCCAGGGGTTTGCTGACCTTGCTACGGGTGATGGGACAGGAGCATGTCCTCCCTTGCTTTGCAGGAAGCTGAAAGATGCGGGATTCATCGTACTGTCCATGCTGGGGAGGCCGGCCCGCCCGCCAGGTACGAGGAGCTCGGGGCAGGGGTGGGAAGTGCCGCTGCGTCCTCTGCACCGGGGAGAGAGGAGCCCGGGTCCTCTCCATATGCATAGCAGAGCAAACATCGGGGACCCAGGCAGACATCTGGCCCCGGCGGCTCAGAGAAGGATCTCCCCGGAGTGGCGTGGGCTGCACCCATGGTGGGCAGGGAGCTCTGGGCAGACAGGAGCCGAGCTGGTGCTCGGAGGCTGTACGTGGTTTTCCTGTGCTCTCTAGGCAGTTTATCTCCTGAAGGCTGAGCGCATTGGCCACGGCTACCACGTCCTGGAGGACCCCGAGCTCTACAAGGAGCTGTTGAGAGCAAAGATGCATTTTGAGGTAAGGATGTGTGGTGGGAGGGTGACAGCCAGGTAGCTGCTGTCTGATTGGAAAATCAGCCCTCGCTTGGGCTGTGCTACAGCCAGGGACACGACCTGACACCCGAGTGCTGACCACGTGTATGGTGGCATTGCCGTTGAACCTGGATGGCTAAAGCTCCACAGCAAAAATGGTGGTGACAGCTGGCTGTTTGCTGGGACCTTTGCTGCGAGCACAGCAGCTTGCAGGAGGTGTGCAGCAGAGAGAGATGGATCCTGTTCTGGCCGAGGATAAATTTTGGGCAGCTTATTCACTAATTTAGATACCTCAAGCCTGTAGGCTTCTCCTCCTGCAAAGCGGGCTGCTGTACCGGAGCCTGTCTGGGTGCAGGGTGGAAGTGCCTGGGAGTTACTGTGCATAGGCAGGTTTCCTTGGCTTTTCCCCAGAATGGGTGTATCCAACTAACAGAAGGAATATATAGGTATATACTTAATGCCAGCGGTTTCTTAGCTGTGGTTGACACATGGCTGGTGGCTGACTGGCCATGGACCCCCGGGCTCCTGCCGCTGTAGAAATAGCGGGCTGTAGGCTCTTCGCATCCGTGTCCTGGGATGTGCACCGCTCCATCGGAGCAGCGCTGAGGGGTAGCTGTGAACAGAGCTCTAAACCTGTATCTGGCTTTACCAGCGTGCGCAGCTATCTGCGTACACAGCTGTGGTTCAGACCTGCGTGGCTGATTCTGGTTTTCGTGTTTAACTCCCCCAAACAGGTCTGCCCTTGGTCCAGTTATCTTACTGGAGCATGTCTTCCGGACTTCGGGAAACACCCCGTAGCACAGTAAGACTTCTCAATTAAGTGCAATCTTAAATAACCAAGATTTGGGTTGACTATAGCTGCTTTACAAAGCTAACGCACATCTAACTGCTTAGGCAAATGTGGTACCTCCTTGCTCTTTAGCGCAGAGAGGCCCAGTGCAGGTGGAGGGGGTGCGGGCGTCCCTCGGGGAGGCTGTCCTGCCCCTCCTGCCCCTGCTCTGAGCTGTGGGGCACGAGATGCTGCACACCGGCTGTTGGCCGTAGTTTGTGGGTGAGAGCTGAGGTCGCTGAACCTCTAAGCAAGAGACACCCCGATGCTCTGCTCCTCTCTCCACTGGAGAAGCAGACGGGTGCAGAGCAGTGGTGAGACAAGCCGAGCCCTGTGTTCGTGTCCAGCAATGCCAGCTGCAGGGACAGCTGCGAGGTCTTTGCTTTTGCCCTGAGAAGTGCATGACCAGTGCCATAGCCGGTGTTTTTACCCACCGGTTCAACCTCCTTTCTTTACAGATTTAGGAAGGATCGCGCTAACTATTCTATAAACACGGATGACCCCCTCATCTTTAACTCCAATATTGACAAGGATTACAGCATAGTGAAGGACTACATGGGCTTCACTGAAGAGGAGTTCAAGAGAGTGGTAAGTCGGCCTTGGCTGGATGCTCTGCAGATGTCCTGGTGCAGCCCAGAACAACCTGCTGGTTTTAGAATCATAGAATTGTTTAGGTTGGAAAAGACCTCTAAGATCATCAAGTCTAGCTGTTAACCTGGCACTGCCAAGTCTACCACTAAACCATGTCCCTAAGCGCCTCATCTACACGTCTTTTAAATACTTCCAGGGATGGGGACTCAACGACTTCCCTGGGCAGCCTGTTCCAATGTTTAACCACTCCTTCAGTAAAGAAATTTTTCCTCATGTCCAATCTAAACCTCCCTTGGTGCAACTTGAGGCTGTTTCCTCCCATCCTATTGCTAGTTACTTGGGAGAAGAGACCAACACCCACCTCACTACTTTTCTTTGTAAGCTGGAGAGTTCTTAATGGAAATCAGAGAATCTTGCACTGACCTTGTAGGCAGGAGGCTGAGGGTGGCTGCTGAGCTGGCTGGAGGGAGGTGCTGGGAGCGCTGCGGGGCGTGGAGAGCCGAGGTGGGCTCTGCAGGGGCTTCATCGCTTGGGCTGACTGCTTTGGGCTTTATGGGTAACAGGTCAGAGTGGGAATTGTCCACGGACGTCCTCACAGCAGGTCTTAGCAGTAAGGAAGGAAGATGCCTGTTGCTTTTTTTTCTGGATTTGGAATTGCAGGTAGGTTATTTCAAGGCCTGGCCCAGAAATTAGCAAGATTCAGCAGGTACGAAAGTGCTTGCAGTTTTTGCATGTATAACCTGAGTATGCAACAACTGAGCTGGCAACAAAGTGACTGCTGGCTTCGGTTTTGGCGCACGCAGTCATTTCTGTATCTTGATTACATCCTTGATTTTCTAATTACTTACTCAAGACAGAAAGACAGGATAACAGTTTGACTAACCTGGTTACCAGGGGAAGCTTTCCTGGTTTGCGTTTAGAGTCACGCCCAGCACTTTCACCTACGTGTCTCCCAAGATACTTGCGTGGATCGGGAAGTGCAGGATGCACTTCACAAGAGAGCGTCAGTCCTGCTCTCAGCTCTGGCTGGAGGAACAAGTCCTGTTCTCCTACAGACATCACTGTCTGGGTCTGGAAGAGGGAAGAAGGACAGCCCTGAGCTCTGGGGTCCTGGATCCACAGCTGTTCTGCTGCCAGCTGTCTTCTCCTGCTCTTGCAAAAGCCAGGTTGTTCCTGTGTAGTAAAAGAAAGGTCCCAGCACAAGACATACAAGCAGGTTGCATTGCACGGCTGTGTCCCAGCAGCGGCACATCAGGCTGCCACCACCGCTGTGCTGGGAGAGGCTCTGGTCCAAAGAGGAGCTGGGAGTGTAGGAGCAGATCTAAAGTGCACATCCTAAAAACTCCAAAGTATTTAAAGACCTTTACTTGTGCCTGCCTCGTTCCTCTTGGGACTGTGGCTAGTGATAGGCAGAGAAGTTGCCCTGTAAAATGAGGCTGTGGAAATGAATCCTGGAGTGGAAACTTTATGCTCTCCCTCGCCTGCGGCTGCTCAGAGCCAGATGTTGGGATGCGCACAACCACGTGTTCGTGTCTGACGTGTCTTAATGTCTCCCTTGTGTTCCCCCTCTGCCTCCCCAGAACATCAACGCAGCTCAGTCCAGCTTCTTACCTGAGAAGGAAAAGCAGGAACTGCTGGACACGCTGTATGAAGCCTATGGGATGGTCCCCAACGCATCGTGACCCATCCCTGTGAGCCAGCGTGGAGCGGTGGCCCTTCTTCATGCGTGCTTGACTCTCTGTGCTAGTGGGAGCACCGGGAGAAGGTGCCGGAGTTGGTTTCTATTACTGGCACCCCTGTGTTAACCCTTACAGTGCTAAGCAGAATCAGGCTATCACATCCACCTACCTATACCCCCACAAACTCTCTCCCAAATGGATATCCAGCTTCCTATCTTGCTGTTGTGCAAGCAGACTGAAACTGCCTCCTGGCCTGACTCCCTTCTCCATCTGCCAGTCTTTCTGTATTGCAAACGCAAACAGAAGAACCTCCCCTGCTTTTTTCTTTCCTCTTCCCCTGCTTTATCTGTCCTGCCCCACTGACCTGCCTAGCCCTGGTCTGCAGTGCAGAAATAACCACCTTTAACTGTGACTGTGGCCTGGGTTAATCTTCACCTTTCTAGGAGAAGGGTGTGTTAGTGCTGACAGGGAGTGAGCAGGCACGTCAGAAACAGAGGCTTTATTCCCATCTGTGTGGGTAGGAAGGTTTGGTCACAGCTGTATTTACCCAGGGTTAGTCTTGTACTAACAAGACTGGAACAAGAACAAGCTGGAAGCTGGTGCACTTGCCCGTGCACAGGTCTGAAGGGCATTGAAAAAAAAAAAAAAACACAGCAATTTTTTTGGCATCCTTTCTTGGATAAGGGCTCCTGTGTATGGGGCCTCCCAATGTCACTGCCGCAGAAACGCACACCTTGGGCTCAGGCTCCAGCTGTGCTCACAGCTGGCCATGGCCATGCTCACACATGCATAGGAAGTTGGAACATATTTTTACCATTTTGAGCCAAAATCTGCCTTCTGGGACTTTTCTCAGTTTTGTACTCATCCTGGAGAATTCCTGTGAAGTGCAATTTGCTCTTCCTCTATCTTTGTTTAGGACTTGGAAAAAACATGATTGATTGATTGCCTGTTTTAACCATTCTGCCCTCTTCCTGACTTGATGTAATCCTTAGGCACTATTAAAACTGAATAAGTAAATTAATAAGCTAGGGCCCAATGTCACATGTTGACTCAGGTCCCATCTGAATTGCTTCTCTCACTCAACCACAACACTGGCTAGAAGTCAGATCTTCAGTTTGGTGGAGAATTTATACAGAAATATTCACCAAAATTCCTAAGCGATTTTGGTGCAATATAGTATTTTTACTTAATATGCAATAGAGCCATGCATCCAGAGAGGAGACCATCATTTTCTTACGTGAGTGTGTGGTGTGCTTTAGCATCCCAGGTGTCTGCCAAGATGCTTACTCCAAAGATACTGTACCAAAAAGTTGCCTTGGACAAGGGGCTGTGGTTACCATTACCATGGACAGTGTGTGAGACTGGTCCAGTCTCAGCCAGCGACTGCATGCTGGGAGTATTTCCATTCTTTCTGGGCTTCCGTATTTGTCTTCAGAGTAAAACATTCATCTCTGAAGTACATGGTGCATATATAGACCTATATATATATATAGCTAGATAGATGGATATGAGAGAGTGAATTTCTTACTTTTATAAAGCAAATGATAAAGCATCACTTTTAAGAACATGGTTGCAGTAAGAACCAGGCTTTTTTGGGTAATTTTTCTGCAAAAATTGTTTCTGAAGAAGAATTGCTTGTTTGGATTCTGAACAGTTGATTGTTAATCCTGTTTAATAAAATAACAAATTTATATTAAAAGATTAATCCTCTTGCCTTTCTGTTCAAGGGAGACTGTTAGGAACCGTGGTCCGTGGTCCACAACGTGAGCCATCGTAGCCCTGCTAGAGCACGAGGGTTAATCGGTAGGTGTGATGGGGCAGCCCAATTCCTGCCTTCTCCTGTTGCTGGGCCGGAGCACTTGGAAAGTTAACGCAGGGCAAGCCAGAGGGAAGGTACCCCCGCTCCCTTGCTAGACAGGCAAGTTGGATTTGTGGACGCAGGTTGTTCCAACCTCACGTGTCCTTTTCCCTTCGGTAACCAAAGGGACACATATCTCACCGCTAGAAGCGGCAGCACCGTCACTGTGTACTCTCACTTTTTTCAAGCATGTATCAAAAATAGTTTACAATACTTTTTTTTCCCCGTCTCCTGAGTTTTGCACAGTCAGTTGATGCTAAGAGCCAGAAGCGGTGCAGCCTGGGCTGCCTGGCTGCTGGACTGCACTGTCAGCTCAGGCAAGGGAGCGTTTGCTGAAAGACTTTCTGATCATTTAGTGCTCAGTTAGAGTTTCGGCATGCCCGTATGTTCGACTGAAATGAAGGGCTCGGGGCATCCGTGTGCTCAGCAGCTTTGTAAGTCAGGATGTGGCTGGATTAAGCCAGGTCTTTCAGCACAATCGGCGACGGCAGCTGACCTGGCTCTTTCACTTGCAGGGGGAACCTGATGCCTCTCGCCTGTCCTCTGAGGGTAGCTGGCCAACGGATCCCTAATCATCTGCCTAAATATAATTCTGGAACAGATATTTTCTGACCAGGGAGGCCTAAGATTAGCCCGTGTTTGACTGCTGGAGGTCTTGCGTGGTGCACAGTCCCTCTGCATTGCCTTTCGGCTTGCTTTGTGTGTGTTAGCATGAGCCAAAAATACTGTTCAGTGGCAGTGAGGAGAGCTGGAAATGGGACTTAAAAACCCAACTGTGTGGTCAGCCAAGCCCAGGAGCTACCTGCTGTTTTGCTCCCGAGCACGGGGAAACGGGAGCAGGCTCTTGGCCGCCGTCCGGGCACAGAGCTGCAATAGTATCCAGGCAGCTCCGGGAGCCGAGCTGGTTTGCAGCTGCCAAAGGAGCAGATGCAGCTGCTACCTGGCTGCCAAATCCTTGTTTCCTGGGGGGGCTGGAGCCATGGACATCTCTGTCCCGGCCCCCATCGCTTCCCAGAGGCCCACAGACAATTGTCCCTCTGTCTGGCAGCCGCTTCTCTGCTTATTTATGGTCTTGTTTTCGCTGATAAATCTCAAACTCGTAACATAGAGTTCTTCCCTAGGCTGTCAGGGTGATGCTTGTCCTTGTCCTTGTGTCACCAGTGGAGAGTATTTCTTAGGCCAGCTCTGCCTTGTCCCTGCCCCAGCCATTGATCCCAGCCGGGCTGTAGCTGCTTCCCGCAGCTCCGGCAGGATCGGCTCTGCCCGGGCTGGGTGAAACGCCAGCGATGTCCTCGCAGCTGCAGAGGGAAGATGCCTCTTCCCACCGGCACCTCTTCTGCTGGTGTCTGGGCCACTCCACCCAGTCCCAAGCCAGCCTTGTGCTTGACTTCTGGGGTAGCAATGTGGAGGGGAGCCGTGCTCCCACAGGGGGATCATAGAATCATAGAATCGTTTAGATTGGAAAAGACCTCTAAGCTCATCGAGTCCAACCCTTAACCTAGCACTGCCAAGTGCCCCACTAAACCATGTCCCTAAGCACCACATCTACACGTCTTTTAAATACCTCCAGGGTATGAAACACCCATGGGAAAATCACTGCCTGGCAGCAAACCCGGAAAAGCAGGGGCAGACTTTTAGCATTTTCTGTGCCCAGCTACATCTGCTTCCACCTGGGTGCTGCAAACCCGTGGGGTTTCACAGACCCAGATGGAAGGGACCTGTAATACAGCTCCGTATCTCTCTGTTAGGGGAAGCTGGTGTAACCACCCTGCAGCTCAACCAGCTACAAGGCAAAACAGAGGAAGAAGAAACATCCAGGCAGAGAAAAACACCTTCAGTACTTGAAGGCTGTGTTATTTATTCCAACAGCTTATATAGTTTTATCAAACCATCTTTAACACAAAACATGTCTCCTAAAAGAGAGAATGGTGTGAGATCCTGCCAGAGATCATCTCAGCTAACAGCTTGCAAAGTTAAGCCTGAATTTCAACAGTCAAACCAGCAAAATGTTTCTCCCCTCCCCTTAACAGTATCTTAAAATGCTAAAACCCGAAGAAAAAGATGCCTGCGGCTGGTGCTGCTGGGTCTGTAGGTGGAGCTCGTCCCCACAGAGCTGTGCTTTGGTCCTTTCCTGATGCTAAGCGGCAGCAGCACAGGTGAGTGGTGCTTGACATGAAGGCAGCGGGACTGGCCGGCTCCTTCCCCACTGCCCACCCTGACGAGGGGCCGCACGGACAGTCCAGAGGCCAGGTCAGGTCTAAGATGCAGATGAGGGTGAGGCTTAGAAAAACCAGTAATCTAAATTTCTAATCTATGGAAACAGAATAAATAATAGTCTAAATTTGCAAAGGAGGGAGGTACCTTGGACAGGAAAGTCTGATGTGTCTATTATTATTGAAATCGTTTTTTCCCCTAGGGGAAAATCGCAGCTAAGGCATCTTGAGAATGGCTCATATCACTACAACCACGGCAGTGTTGCCCTAAATCGTTAGGGATGGGAGCAGAAGTCTTTTGGAGGTGCCAGTCCTTGCACAGCATCTTGTGGCTCTCTAAACAAAAATGGTTGCAGCAGAGGCATTTGACAGACAACTTGCTGTTCCAGGTGGGCTTTTGTCCGCGGATTCAACAGCAAATTCTTGTTTAATGTTCACAGCAAGGCCCTCCTCCTGCCCATCCCACCCCCTATACGCTGTCATGGGGAGGGGCTGTTTTCTTGCCCCTTTGGTCTTGCTCCAGGGTCGTTCTCAGAAGAAGTGGCATCTCTTTGGCTTTCTGCAGAAGGAAGGATTGGGAAGAAAGCACGGTTACACTCTGCTGAGGACACAAGCGATCAGTAAACTGCTATAGCTGATTTTATTCACATTGCCACCTGAAGAGCTCTCGCTACCCTCCTGTGGCCAGACATTTGGCTTAAGAGTATTGGGTCCTCCCTTCATGTTCCTGGAGTACAAACGCTTCTCAACATGTTTGGTGATGCTGGGAGGGAGCCTCGGGGCAGGGATGTGCTCTCCTCGTCTAACCTGTAATGGCAACTGCTCCAGGAATGTCTGCCCCACAGCCGGGCAGCTAACTGAGTTGCTCTCTGTTGGAAGAGCTCTAATTAGTGCTTCTTATGGACGGGTGGATGGACGTGTGCTAGTATGGACACGTTGGGGTAATGTGTTTTAAAGTATTTTTATAGTTACAGGTTGTAGGTTGGAGGAGTAAAAGAGAAAGAGCAAAAAATGAGTTTATCATCTCCTGCAGTGATGCTGTATGTTTTGTGGCTTGTTAGTGAAATCAGACTGGCTGGTTTGCTTGGGCTCTGAACGGAGGATTTACGCTGGTTGTAGTCAGCTGGTCGGCATGTATCGAGCAGGGTGATACTGCTGCCATGTTTGGGCTACGGGGGAACATTTAGAGATGGCTGGTGGTGTTTAAAATTGTTTCTGTTGTTATTCAAAAAACTGTGGAACTATTTGAAGGCTGATTTTTAAAAAAAAAACAAAACCAACCAACGAAGAAAAAGCAAACCACAACCTGCCCCACACTTGATTTTTATAAAGCCTAAGGTATACCTGATGTGTAATTTGCCCTGGGAAGGCTCTTGGTCAGTCCATGTCTTGTTTAAGCACCGGTGCCTCTACAAACCAGCCAAGCAAAGGGCCTTGGCTGGAGCGTGCAGGGCTCGTGTGCCGGGAACCCCGGGACCATCCCGTTCACTGCAAGAGCCCCTCGGCCTGGGGAGTCTCCCACTAGCTGAGTACCCACCGAGCATGAAGGCACTGACTGCAGCGAGGAATGAGATGTTCCTCCTGAGCATGTGTGATGCTCCCAGAGACAGCATGGGTCAGCTGCGCTGCCAATTCGTGCCTTGCCCTTCCAGCCTGGGTGCCAGGAGCTGGGCTTACTGGTGTCTGCGGCAGCTCACCTGCTCCTTCAACGGCGAGGTCACCTAGGTCCTCGGTCAGCTTGCGCATGCTGATGGTGGTTGCATCTCGTTGGATGTCGTGGACAGCGTTCCTCCGACCAGCCCGATCGCAGGAAATAAAGTCGGTGTACGTGCTGGACTCTACCTCCATTGCATCTCTATACGCCTGCAAAACGCTGCGGAGAAAACACAGCTGTGAGGTCAAGGATGCTCGGCAAGCCTCGAGTCGTGGCTCCCTCCAGGTTAGGTTACTCCGTGGCGTTAAATTACAGCACAAAAAAATAGTCCCTGTAACTCTGCTCCGGTTCCTCTAACAGCAGCTACTGAAATCTCAGATATCAACCCTGTCACGTGGGGCGGCGTGCTGGGTGACCCGTGGTGCTGGGTGACCCACCGTGCTGGGTGACCCACTGTGCTGGTGACCCATGGTGCTGGGTGACCCACCATGCTGGTGACCCACCATGCTGGTGACCCACCGTGCTGGGTGACCCACTGTGCTGGGTGACCCACTGTGCTGGGTGAGGGGAGGTAGGCAGAAAGGATCCATCCCAGCTGCCTTACCAGCCCTTGTTCTGTCTTCCCATTGCAAAGCAAGGCAGAGAAGGGATTTCCCTCTCCTTTTGAGTTTCTGGCCTTCTCCTTTAGGAGCTGCAAGGTCGCTTGCAGCAGCTTTTTCCTACAGAAAAAGCATTACAGAAAAAGCCTTCCTTCCTCCTCAACATGCCATGGGAGCTTTAAACAGAGGCCAAATTTGGCTCACTGCGTGGGGGGATGGGGTGCTGATCCAACCTGAATTTGTAATGGGAAACGATCAGGGCCCCGATGGATACCCACTGGAAAGCTCGGGGAGCAGGGGAGTATTTTATAGGTGTGGGGCTTTGGATCAGTACCGGCCTCCACCGGTTGTGGGATGTCACTGAAAAAGTGTTGGGCTGGACTGCTTTGAGATAAGCACTTTAACATGAGAAAATCAGCCCTTCTGTGAGATGTTTGGATCCCTTCACTCCAGGCTTGTGTCTGTGCCAAGCTCAGAGCACGGAGAAAGGCTTGGAGCCGCCGCTCGTCACCCGCAAGCACCGCTGCGAGCCAGCTCTTCGTTCAGCCCGATGAGTCCTTAAGTTGTTGGGTTTTCATTTTAGCTGACGGTTTGACTGGCCAGCGTTTGTACAGCACACAGAGTCCAGGGACCTCAGCAGCTCGGGGAACGCATCGCAGGTGCCGTGGCTCCCGGGCACAGAGCTAGCGAGCGCACGCTGCCTCTGCGCTGGAAACCTGGTGCTCTTGGTTCCTGCTCCTGTTTAGTCAGTTTGGCAACTCTGTTTTTCTGTGTGGCAATTAGAGATTAATAGTTGTCTTATCTCCAATTTTGCCCACTAAAAAATGCCTTTAGCCCTGCTGATGTTGGCGATACTAGAAGGAGGTCCCGATTAGAAACGCGCGTGTGTAATTAAAAAAAAATTCAATTTCTTGTCATTTACTTGCTTTTGTGTCTTGGGGTTAATGTCCCATTGAGACATTTGCTTAGCTCATGTACAAATCCTGTTTAATATTGATCTTCACAGGGAAATCTGCTGGCAGACCACCAGCCTGGGCAGGAATCGCACTCCTCACTCTGTAATCCCCAATGTTATGGCAGTAGAAAGAAGATGCTGACGAAGATGCAACAGCCAGGATAAAAGAGGTTAAATTCTCCCCTTTCCTGAGACTGAGAGGGTGCAGTAACCTCCAACCTTCATAAACCCAGAATGTTTTGGTAGTCCCAGGGTCTCCTCTCTTGGTGCTGACGCCAGCTCAGGGAGCGCTGGCACCGGCTCGCTGGTGGGACGTGGGGCTTGGCCCACTCAGACCTCGCAGGAGAACCTGCTTCTCCAAACCCAGCAAATCCTTGCAAACACCCGCCTCCTCCCAGGGCTTGGCATCCATCTAGCCTCTGTTACATGAGCCCCGGGAAAAGCTGCATCCTTTGCCCCAGGAAGAGATCCCAGTTGTTGTTTTTCCTCATTTTCCCTCCTTCCTTTCCAGGCTTGCCCTTCCCGGGAAGAGGTGGCGGCTCTGGATGCGGCAGGCTGGCTGATCTCAGTGAGCAAAGCACCTTTTCCCCGGGACAGGACGAGCATCCCTCATTCCCAGACAAGTCCTCCTCGCAGCTCATTGGAACCCAGAGGCTGCTGACCTTCTGTAGCTGCCGGAGAGATGTCACACGGACTTGGGAGGCTTCCCTAAGAGCAGTCCACACCAGCCTGGGTCTACCTCCCCATCAGTGAGGCCAGTTCAGCGCTGATATGCTCAGGAGTCCGCCTGCCCTTGCACCAGGGGCTGGACCACCCGGTTCATAGGATGGACTCCACAAACCGGAGAGCAGGAGCCGACCAGCCCCCGGGATGCAGCATCTTCCCGGTGTCCCTTGATGTAGCTGCCAACGGTAGATGTGCTCAGCTGCGGCAGCGCTGTGCCAAGTGACTAAGTGGGAAAAGGACGGGATCTTGATCTAAAATAGGGGAAGGAACCAAGTGTGCAGAAGCAGGTCCTGCTCAGGGCAGGTTTGGGTCCCGGCTCGGTGGCCGGGAGATGGCGCGTGTGATTTATTTATTTTCCGTGGCTGGGAGGGTTCCTGCCTTCAGCTCTCCATGCAAAGAGCTGGAGAGGGCGGACTTATGAGCAGAGCTTTCAAATTTGTGCAGTTCCTTCGGGATTTTCAAGGTGCGCAGCTCTCAAAAGCCTTGCAGGCAGATATCCCTCCCAGCTGGCAGAGACACTCCA